CCCAAGAGATTGATTAAAGATAAAACCTAATCTTGTAGATCTATCCTGCCTCATTAATAGGCCTGCCTTTAATCCTGCTTCAGGGTTAGACATGGAATAAGGAACATCATTGCTGACATCAGATAGATTTTAGCCAGAAGCAGAGAATACCAGCGAGAGGTTTCCCTGTGTCTTATTAACTAAGCAAAGGTGTTTGACTGTGTGGCTCATAATGAATGATGGGCAACTATGAGGAGAATGGGCATCTCAGAACCCTTCCCATACAGCCCAGCTGCTCAGAACACTTGCTCAGCTTGCAGGAATGGAGGACACAGTCCCTAACACACACCTTTTAAGCCAGTGTTCTATTTGAACCCCTGCTTCATGTCTATATACAGGTTTCACATGAGCACACCGTCACTGCCAATGTGGATTCCATGCACTGGGTCAAGGCAGGTGTGATTATGAAGACGGTGATTTTATGAAGATCCTGATACGGTAACTTCCACCGTGCTGTACACGGACCAGCTCTGAGCTCGAGCGGTCTCATCAGCACCTAGCAACACAGTGTTGTTTGGTCAGCACCTTGACGCCAGGATTTACAGCACATCACGAATGGAGGATAACTCCATCAGACCACATCCTGGAGATGATGCAACCACTACATGACCGACAGGTCACATCAGCTGCCAACCATACACAGTTTGAATCACCAGCTGCTCCTCTGAGAATGAAGGGAGGGCAATCTCATCTCGATCTATTTGGTGGTTATGAAAACCTGCTGGAAGATCAGCTATGGATTGGTTCAGAAATGGTACATAACAACAAATACTGAGGACCACGGCCCAGCCACGTTGACACATGGTAGGGTGACATGCAACTAAACTATACCACGAGCATGCGCAGGCAGGTGGCAGGTGGCTGTGCTTACGCATGTGCACAGGTGTACATACCTGTGCCAAGGGTCCTACCCCTGATCCTCACCGCTTCCCTAGCAGAGGCCACAAAGAGCTACTGACAAGCCTGCCACCTGCTGGGAGACTGGGGTACTGCAGCCAGTTGCCCAGCATATTGTATTGCCTCTGAGATGCCAAAATCATCCTTTTTCGGCCACAAAAGGAGTGTCTCCAGGCCCCTGAAGGAAATTCAACAGCGCCTGCTGGGCACTGTGAACCCCTTTGCACAGGATGAAATCTCCTCAGAATCATGCGTTTAAAACGTAGTATGAAATAATGAGATTGCAAAGAAAACCAATTATATGGAAATACAGTTGTCAAAATATTAATAGTAATATATGTGCCTCGTTCACAAGATCTAGTGGCGGGTGCAAGAACTACTCTAATTCTGAAGTCATGATCTGCATAAATGTTTTGAGAATCCTGCAACAGTTAGAAACGTGATGTGAAAACATTGAATCCTTCTGATGACAAAGTCACAGGTACCGCTAACAACTAGGGGCTGCTGTTGCTGGGTTTTGTTGTTGTTGAGACTTTGGCTTCTCAGCCTTTATTTACAAGGAAAAGAAAAGCCATAATTCAATGAAAATCAAAGCCCCCAAACCCACGGTGCCGCAGAGAGTCTGAGTCCCAGGACTCTGTAGGGCAGAACAGAACTGCTCCATAGGCTTTCCAGGTCTGTAATCCTCACAGAAGCAGAATCAAGCTTCTTGTGCGAAACAGATGGTGGATTCTAACTACCCACCTTCAAGCAGACGAATGTTTAACCACTACACCCCCAGGACTACTGCCTGGGTTGAAAAGTGCTGAAGACTCACAGCGGCCACCACAATGAACTCAACTGTAGCGACAATTGTGAAGATGCTGCAGGACCTGGAAACATTTCTCTCTCTCTCTCTGGCATGCACGAGGCCACCTGGGAATGCAGGACGATGAGGAGCTATAGGGCTGATGATGTGTGCGTGGGGAGGACCTACAGAATCATCACTGATCACAAGGATAGGTGGGTGCAAGGTGGCCCATGCTGGACAGGACTGTCCACAGCACCACAACCCCCGGCCAGCAATAAGGAGGGTTCAGGGGCTGGCAAGAAAATACACAATGACAGATAGTGTTACAATAACATCAGGGAAGTACACACTTCTCAGAAAAACCAACTCCACACATACTCGCCTCTCATCCTGAAGTGTGTCCGCTGGCTCTGGCTCGGACAGCAAAGCATGAGTTCCCATGCTGCTGCACTGGGGTAGCCCCTTTGTCTCCTGGGATATGGGAGGCCCTAAACCACCACTGTGTTCTGGAACACTCCAAGTTCAGAGATGGGCAGCATTTTTTGCAGGAGAAAGCTCAGACGACAGGCATGGAAAGGAAAGCAGGATGAAGAGAAACAGGAGACACAGGGGCGAAGTGGGAAGAGTGCTGTTACATGGTGAGGATTGCCTTCATTGTTGTCAGACAAAATGTGCATAGACTGTGGAAGGGGAAATCCATTTGTTCTCTAAACTGAACCCAAGTAATAAACACAAAAAAAGAGAAAATATACAATGAGTCCTCCCACCTGGGCCCAGCTCAGGAAACCACCTGTAGCCTCCCAAAGAAGCATTAGCCGTCGGGGGAGTGTGGAAAGAGACTTGTCTGGTTCATAGTGAGGAGGGGGTCCCTGGAAGCCCCCAGCTCTTCTGCCTCAATCCAGACAGCTGTGTTTGCTGAAATTTTGCAAATTGGATGATTCTTTTTTTCACCTACATGTCATTGTGTGGTCTGTGAATCGGCAATTGAATGCACTTACTCTAGGGGAGTCACTGGGTAGAATAAAGGGTTCCTCCGTGCTGCTAAGCGAGCTTGGTGCCTTGAGTCTGCCCAGAGGCCCTCTGAAGAAAGTCCTGGGGATCTATTTTCAAAAGATCAGTCATGGGGAGCTCTATGCATCAAAGCTCTACCTTGACATACAAGGGGTTGTAGGAGTCAGTGTGGACTAACTAAAAACCAGGTCCCTCCCCAGACTTCCCGAATGAAACCACAATAGTGTTATGGCTCGAACTGTGTCCCCCCACAAAACAGGTATCAGCTTGGCTGGGCCATGCCTCTCAGTATTATGTAAGCATCCTCTCATTTAAGGCCTGATTCCTCATCCTGTGCGTAGTAAATTTCTACATTGAGCATGTTCATGAGACAGGACTAGAGTTGCTTATGTTGATGAGGTGAGATACAATCTACAGGGTTAGGAGGTTTCTTGAGTCAGTCTCTCTGGAGCGTAAACAAGCAAGCAGAGATTAGTGAGACGTCAGCATCACCAAGAAAGAAGATCCAGGAGTGAAATGCATCCTTTGACCCTGAAGTCCCTGTACTGAGAATCTCCTATATCTAGGGGAAGATCGATGCCAAGACCTCCAAGGGACAGCAAACCCACAGATGCTGAAAGGAGACATGCACCTTCACCTAGAGCCAATAGAAAGAGAAAGACTTCTCCTAGAGCGGGTGCCCTGAATTTAGACATCTAACCTGAAAAGTGAGTGATAAACATTTGTTAAAGTCACTCACTAAACTAACGTCAGTGATGTAAACCCACCAACCACACTTTGGAAGAAAGGTCTGGAGATCTCCAGCCATAAAGATTGTTGTTGTTGTTGTTAGGTGTCATCAAGTTGGTTCCAACTCAGAGTGGCCCCACATACATGAGAACAGAAGCACTGCCCAGTCCTGGGTCACCCCACAATTACTGCCATGTTTGAGCCTATGGATGCAACACTGTGTCCATCCACCTAGTCAAACATCTGTAGAGATTACAATCAAACAAAGAAACAAAGCACATGGAGAGTTCCAGTCTGTATGTAACGCATGGAGTCACTGAACAGTAATGGGTGGGGTTCTTGCCCAGTTCATTCATCTGGGCACCAAAGTCTGGACAGCAGCTCTGACTCGTTCAGCCTCAGAATGAGACAGGATGTCCACCGGAGTCCAAGAACTGCTCTTGATGCTTGCACAACCCAATCAGACATGCACAAGAAAGAGACTCAGCTACACCTCCAAAACTTAGCAATATTCAGAGCACACAAGCTTTATTGAGCAATAATGGTAGAGTTTCATGAGGAAGAGCTGTATGATACCATGAAGCTGTTCCCCACAGGACATCTGAGAGCCGAGGATTGTGACAGAGCCCTGGACATCCTCCTCCTATCTTCAAATAGCTCGTGTGTGTTGCTCCCGGGCCCCTTGATTCTTGGAGCCCCCTCTCCCCCTCTTCCCCACAACCTCACCTCTACGTGAACTGCCTTTCCAGGCCCTCGGCTAGGGGTGGGAGAACTGTCCAGTCCTGCTTTTCTCTTCTCAAGTCTCCCACTAGGCCCAGCTCTCTTAGCTCAAGGCCATCCCCCAGTTCAAGTTGAATTCACGAGTCACAATATAAGTTGATATTGATAAAGCACTATGGTAGTCCTAGCCCAAACCAGCCACCAGCAAGCAGGCAGGCTGCAGCGTGGCCCTGAAATGGGATCATGTTGCCACAAAAATGACGGGTAGACAGCAAAGGCGCCAGGCCCAGGAGCTGCTGGGGCAGAGGGAAGTCAAGCCCCATTTTCATTCTAGTTCAAGGTACATCCCAGAAACCACTAAACTGATTCAGGGCGATGAATCCGAGATGCCCACGTGACACACATGTGTATATATGTCTTTGTGTGGGATTTGAACGTCTGTATTCTAAATTGTATAGCCTTCTGACTTCCCCTGAGCTCTCTGGGATAAACAGTGCTGCCCAGGAGGGGGAATGGTGAACCCAGATGAATGGCAAATATCCCAATCCGGGAGGAATGAATGAGAGGCAGCCAGGAACACCTGGATGAGAGTAATGCTAGGTGTCCGAGTTCTGCTCAAGGCCTCTTCAGAGGAAAGGTAGGGTGACTGAATGGGGCTTGTGGCAGTGGCTGGACTTTACAGAGGGATGGACAGACAGATGGCCAGCAAAGACACCTTGCACACATGACCTCTTCCTGCTCTGAGCAGCACCACCCTTCCGGGTGCTCCAAGTTGGCAGTCAGTTGACACTGAGGTGGGACGGGAGGGGGGCACTCACACTGTGTACGTTTTGATGGACTTGTAGAGGGGTGGGAGCAGCCCGTGGTTCTCGCGGACGATTTCCAGGTACTCGGCTGGGGTGTCCAACAAGAAGGGCCCACAGCACATCTGGCAGCGGCACCACGGCCCAGACGGTGGCTCCGGATTCTTGTCAGACATGGGGGAAAAGTCAAAATCAGCCACCTATGGTGAACAAAACCCCAGGGGTCAATCATCCGCCCGCCAGGAGGCCCTCGTGTGGCCTTACGAGCTCATCTGCCCGGTGGGAGAAGGCACGGAAATGCCTTCCTGGCACCACACAGGGCTCCTTCTCTAGGCCTTTCTGTTCCCCTGGTCTCCTTCCATCAGCTGCCTTTTCTCTCAGTGATTCACAGACACACCTCCAGGGGATGCGTGAGCCCAGACAAATATAAGTCAGAAGGGAGTAAGTCGACCCAATGATTTTGTCTTGGGCATATCACCTCCAGCCACAGGTCTCCTTCTGACATCAAAGCCCACTTTAAGCTCCTGTATCGTCCCCATATCCTCTCCACGGCCCACATCCTCACTAGTCAGGACCCTGTGGTCGTCCAGCTTCCCGAGCACCCACCTCCACCAGGTCCTTCTGCTGCGTGGCATTCCGCAGGGTCACATACATGATGAAGGCCAGCATGACCGTGATGAGCGTGGCACACGGGAAAGCGAAGACAGCGGGCTGGATGCCTGGGAGGGAGAGAGGTCACAGCCAGACCCAGGACTGGAGTCCCTGCAGCCACATGCCAGCTCTCGGGAGGTCAAAGCTAGGAAGAAAATTCCACCAATGTTATTATTTCCCTTATGTGTAATGTATCCCAAGTTGGGATGTGCGTGAGTCTTAAAAGATGTCCATGAATTCTGTGATACCCCTACCTTCAGAAATTCCTTTGCCTCAGAGAGCTGGATGGTGGCTAAGAATGAGAGAGGAAGAATAAACACATTTGTCATGGAGAGGGTGAAACCATGAGACTCCTTGGAGGCAAGGATTTTAAAGCTCCATCTCATGTACTTTGGGCACATGGCCAGGGGGGACCAGTCCTTGGAGAAGGACATCATGCATGGAAGGGTGGAGGGACAGACAGCACAGAAGAGGAAGACCCCGGATGAGATGGATTGATATAGTAACTGGCGTAGTGGGAGTAGGTGTGTCAGAGACAGGGAGACTGGCTCAGGATAGAGCAGGGTTCAGAGCTGTTGTATACAGGGTTGCTATGAGTCGTAGATGACCTGACGGCACATAACAATAACAATTGGAGGTTATAAAGCTGGTTGATAGCAGACCTGGAGTTAGTAAACTTGAGTGATAACATAGTTGATAGCAGAGTGATAAGTAGTGTCCCAGGCAGCATTGGTCATGGCAGTGTTCAGTGTTGAGAGTAGATGTGGTGGTGTTGGTGGTGGTGGTAGTGGACTGATAGTGGTGATACGGGGACTGGGAGAGCTGCCTGGTGTGGTATTGGGTTGGTAGAGTCAGTGTTGATAGTAAAGTGAGTAGCTGGTCATACTGGCAGAGTTGATCAATGGCGGTGTTCTTGCTGGGGTCAGGAGCGTCATCGGGGATGTGGTGGTGTTGGCTGTGGACGACGTGCTAGGGTGGGCTGGCAGTAGGGTCCTGGAAGTGGAAGCACTGGGTCAGCTGGCGTGGCTGCCTGTATGACACTGGAGAGGAAGGCAGCTGTCACTCACTGGAAGGCCACACTTGGATCCTGTGGTACTGATGCGTCTTGCTGATGACATTCTCAGCGTGGATGCTGAAGCAGTACTCCCCAGGGTCCTTGAAGGTGTGTGTCAAGTTGTAGGTCGTGCTGGTCACTGATATCGGATGGCATTCTCCTTCCTCCAGCGGGAGGCACTCAGGCTTGAGGCGCCAGCACATGGTCAGCGGGGCGCTGCAGGGAGAGGGGATAGTTTTTCAGAAGTGACTTGACGAGGCATATGAGCACAGAGCAAATCCGAGAAAGGCTAGGGGGACGGAGACTCCAGAGCCCTTTACGGAGCTGAACAGAGTGGTCTCCACAGCATAGTCACAGGACAGAGTCCTGCCATCAGCCCCACTTGGAAGCCCACCCGGGGATGGAAAAGGCCCAGCACTACCTGCAGAGTGTGTGGGCAGGGCCCATGATTGGCTCTGAGGTCCACTCACCTTCCCAGGAAGGTCAAGGTTGCCGTCATCTTTTGGAAGGTCTGAATGAGGCTGGGGCCCAAAACCTGGATACCTTTCAGGGTTTCTGAAAAACAGAATGGACCCTGTGAGACGTGGGCTCTGAGGATATCTATCTGCTCAGGCCTCCAGTCTGTGGCTATGTGACCATCACCATGTCCTCTCCTGTGTCCAGAGAGAGCCTCCTGGCCCTGACTGCCCATCCCTGGAGCCACATGAACTGAGGAAGGTAAAGGAGGCAGCCATGTTCCAGTGACCAGTAACTGACTGAGGGCTGGCCTGTGAGCCCCACCCCTTCCCTGGGGCCCCTGCCGACTCCCTGACCCCTCTGATCGGTGGGACCCCTCCTGGCTCTCTGATCTCCCACTGACACTGTAGACCTCACTGGGAATTCTAAGGATTCTCTAACTCGCTGATTACTGACCCTCGCCAGTTCTCCTGCCCTCTGGCACTGTGGGGCATCTGGGTCACATGAGGAAAGCACCATAATAGGAGGAGGTGGCCACTCCAGCCTGAGTGCCCCTCTAGTTAGATCCCAGGCTGGAGACCATGATGCCTCCATGCAGATGGCTCTGAGCAGGAAAGGGCTGTGCCCACAGCCATCCTCCCCTGATCACAGCCCTGGCCAGAGGGCAAGTGCCTGGGGGACAAAGTGCCAACTCATTGAAGTGTTCAGACCACGGGGCTGACAGGCCTGGGTTCAAATCCTGGCTCTGCCACTTGGCAGCCAGGTCAGATAAAGTTGAGTTGACTCTGTGTCAGAGCAGACTGCGCGCCCTGGGGTTGGTGAGGGCTTATTTTCAACAGCCGATCACCAGAATGTTCTTCCCAGGCACCCCTGGGTGGAGTTGAATCTCCAGCCTTTTGGAGCGACTTTGTGTCACCTGTCTTCTTCAAAGCAGGAATAATAACAGAAGCTGCCCCAGAGAGGAACTAGGGACACGTGGCCAGTACCCAGCTGGGCCAGCTCTGTCCAAGACCTGGTAGGATGGGTCCCTGGGGGGCTCCCTGCCTGCAGTAGCCCCACCCACAGACTCACCCTGCAGTGTCACAGAGGCTGAGAAGTCTCCCGTCTTCTGCAGGACGCCCTTGCTGGCCTCCGGCTTCATCTGCTCCCACTCAGCCACCACCTTGAGCTTCACAGTGAAGGTTCCGATGAGCGAGTAGTTGTAATAGACCACGGGGTCTTCAGTCACCATCTGGGTCCTTGGGGGGGGGCACAGGGGGAAAAGTGAGAAAGGCTCCAGCAGTGTCTCTCTTTCCAGGTGCGAGTCAGGTGGCCACTCATGCTGCCTGTCCTCTACCATGCCTACCGCAGGCCCAGGGCCAGCGGGGGCTCCAGTGAGCTAGCCCAGCCCTGCCACTCCACAGAGGAGAAAACTGAGGCAAGAGAGGTCAGGAGAAGGCTCAGGGAGGAGGCAGGGCATGCAAGCAGCTAACCGGGGTTAGTTGTTCCCACCCATATTGCCGACAACCAGAGGGCACAGGCACCCCTGGAGACCTTGTCGGAAGTCCATGTTGCATTTAGGTGGACTGGCTGCTGGGCGTCTCAGTGCATGGATGTTAGAGGTGGAGAACTCCTAGACACAGGTACGTTTCACCTGCCAGAGATGCACTCTGTGCTCCCAGACAGGAAACTGGGAGAGGTGACACGGTAAAGACAGGAACAAGCTGGCCAGGGGAGAAGTATGGCCTGGATGGCATCTCTCCCAAAATATATGTCAATTCTCAATGTTATATAATTTTTCTGTCTTGCAAACTGACTTAAATCGCTGTCTTTAATATAAGGTGATAATACAAGGCAGGATTAGAGGTCATTATAGTAATGAGGTAGGATGTTAATAATTCACAAGGTTAGGCTGTATCTCCAGTCAAGCTCGTCTGAGATGTCGAAGAGCTTAAACAAGCAGAGAGAGGGACCTCTGCACCCTCAAGAAAGATGAGTCAGGAGTGGAGGGCATCCTTTGTATCCAGGATCCCTGAGTTGAGAACCTCCTAGACCCAGGGGAAGATTGAGGCCAAGACTCACAGATACAGACAAGGGGTGGCAGGTCCACACATAGTGAAAGGACGCAAGGACCTTCCCCAGAGCTGATGCAGACAGAAAGCCTTCCCCTAGCGCAGGTGCCCTGGATTCAGACAGCTAGCCCCCTAAACAGGGAGAAAATAGTGTCGTCTGTTATATCCACTCACTTAAGGTATTTCTGTTAAAGCAGCACAAGATAATTAAGACAACTGGAATCTCAGCTCTGGATTTTCTATCTAACTCTAAGGCTGACTTTTCTTCTCTGTATAACAGGAAGACCCATACCTGTCCCACAGGTACACCACCTAAAGCTACAGCTTTCTCTTCTTGCCGGTTCCTGGCTGCTGACAGTACCAGCACTTGGAGCTCTCCCACCTGTAACTTGACTGAATAGCTTCAAAAGGCACCGAAAGTCTCCTAGATGAGGCTCCAGGCACCTGGAAGGCAGGGCTGGTTCAAGAGCCCCCCAGAACGCCAAATGTGCACAGACTAAGTGCTCAAGGCATATTTAAAGCAAAAGTGAGTGAGTAAAGATGGGATTACAGAGCAAGGGCCTGGAACAGTGCAGCGGCTCTGGCCAAGACAGACATACCCATCTCCGAAGTCCCAGCTGTAGAGGAACGAGGCGGACTTGAAGAAGTTGCTGGGGTCGTGGAGGAGGAAGGAGACCTGAAGGATCGTCTTGATGAGGTAGGAGCTGGCCCAGGACAAGGAGCTGTTCTGAGTGACAACGAGGTTCCCCACCAGGAATTCTAGGGGAAACCAGAGGGGGTGAGTCCACAGAGATGGACAGAGTGGCCTTGTTCTAGGTGGCAGAGTGTCCCCTGTCCCCGACCTTCTGGATCTACCCCAGAGCCAGGGAGTGAAGAACAAGCTCCCACATGCCCCTGAAACACCCCTTCCATGTTGTCACCCCGCTGTGTGGACACATCAGAGAATCACTGTGTCATGTGTACAACTTCACACCCCCTTTTGCTAGGACCTCAAATTTTCTGAGACAGAAGATTCCCAGGACCAGGAGGAAATGCACAGGCATGAGCTTTGAAAGACATTTTGGGAAAATGCTTGGAAATGTTAGATGAAACCAAGGCTACATGGAAGTGGGAAACATAGCAAGGACATGGTAAGATGCTGTTACATTGTGGGGACTGCAAATGACACATGACACAATGCGTATGAATTGCTCAATAGAAAACCAACTTTGCTCTGTAGCATTTCACTCAGATCACAATAAAACTTTTGTTTAAAACAAGAAAAGTGAAGTGAGTCCTCCGGCCCTGAATGGGAAGTTTTGCTGCTCTCATCTCCACACTCCACATGCTAGGCCGGGTGTGTGCCACCCTTTTGTCTTTTTTCCTACAAATAATTCTTCATTGCTGATCTTCCCATCACCAAAACAGACAGTATCCAAACCAAACCCACTGCTGGCAAGCCTATTTCAGTCCTCTGCAACCCTAAATGAGAGATGAAAACTGCCCCAAATGCTTTCTGAGGCTGAAAACCTTTATAGACCCGGCTGATTTCTCTCTCTCCTAAGAAGCAACCTGTGGACTTGAAGTGCCAACCTTCGAGTTGGCAGCTCAATAATGAATGCAGTGTGCAGAGCACTGGGTCCAAAAACCATGCTCAAGATAATTGGGAAAACACGGAAAAGCTAAAAAAGAAACTTAACACTCAAATATAACTATTGTTGACGTTTTAAAGCATTATCAAAAAAGATATGAAAATTATACAGGTGTTCAGGTCTTTCGTTATGAGTTGTCTACGACTCAACAGCACTTAACAACTACAACATAGAGTGAGCTCTGTTGGCCTAGTGGATAGAAAGTGATGCTACCAAGTCAAAGGTGGGTGATTTTAATCTGTGGCCCTCAGGCTTGGTTTTAATTGTTTTTGGTCAAACAATCTTCTAAGTAGTATATCACGGGTCTGTCTATTTGCTGTACAGAGTTAACTCATGGTTGCTGTATGCTGAACATTGTGACACTGATGTGTCAAATGTGAAAATGGTTACAGTGTTTGGTGGGGCTCCCCTATTAAAACAAGCTTGGAAGCAGGAGTGGTATCCACTTCTGAAATAGCTTGCCTCTGGAAACCCTATAAACCTGGAGAAACGATGAAAGTTATACAAGTGTTCAGGTGTGTCGTTGATGGCACTTAACAACAACATATGTTTTTAATGTATTTTTAAAATTATCATTGAGTGAATGATAACTTAAATCATTGTACCTGAAACCCTCACGTGTTCATTTCAGGACAACTCTGCCAGCACTGTGTACTCTGGGTTTTGATACTTTATAAGTACGACTGACAACAGAGATGGAATCCCAGATCTGATCTGCATGTCTATGATGACGTCTTTCTGTGCTGAGAATGGAAGAGACTATCCTTACCTGTGATGGGGAGGACAGTGAAGGCCCTTGCTACAGGCTGGCACATCCAGCAATTGGCCGCAGTGACCCAGACGGAGACTGGCAAGTCGCCGGGCACACTGCTGACCACGCGGATGGTGGAGCGAAGAGCCTTCTCAGTCTTGCTGGTGAGCAACAGCGGCGTGTGGATCCAGTGGAAACGGTAGAGGTGGGCATCAGCAGGCAGGGCCAGGCTACCATTGTCCCTGGCCACGAAGCTGGCTGAGATGGTCACCTCAGCCCCTGTGGTGGCTGGCCCATCAGAAGTGAGGTGGAGCTCATACAGGCCTGGAAACATAGAGTGTTTGGAAACCTAGAGTGTTTCAGGGCACAGAGCAGCAAGGAACCCTCCCTGCCTGCTGGCTGTCACCCTCTGGGATGGCTTCTGCGGTTCCATTTTACAGATGGAAAAACTGGGTCTCAGGATTTTTATGTGGCTTGCTCGGGCCTCACTGCAGTCTGGGCCTAACTGACTCCACATCCCAAGCTCTTTAGCAGTAAATCCAGGTAGGGTCAAGTGCGAGTCAGACTAGAGTTGGGCTCTCTAGGACTTCCAATGGGTGACTGTTTTGGAAGGAGGTCACCAGGCTTTTCTTCTGAGGTGCCTCAGAGTGGCCTCAAACTTCCGCCTTTTCAGTGAGTAATCAAGCACATTAATTGTAGGTTATATACCACTGAAAAGACTCCGCTTCCTAAATGCTGCTGGTACCCAGTAACACAGACCCACTCCCTGGGCTCAAGCCCCCCTGACCAGTACAGTAGTTTACATGGAAGTAAATGGACATTAATCAAGTTTCCTTAAAACCACTGTCATTGAGTCAATTCCTACTCATAGCAATTCTCCAGAGCAGAATAGAATTGCCTAAGGGTTTCTGAGCCGGTGAATGTTTATGAGCTCTGACTGCCTCATATCACTGCCAAGGTAGATTTGAACCACTGACCTTTTGGTTCAACAATTCAACACTTAACTCACTGTACCTCCAGGGTTCTTTTAGGAGTTCCTCATCATGAGTAAACAAACTTTAGTGAAGTAAGTTAACTTGCTTGCATATAATTAAAATGTGAATTTTGTGTTTCTGAATTGCACTAGCCACAAATTTCAGTGAGCAACGGTCACTGGTTCAAACCTGCAGAATATGGAATCTCAGCCTGGTTATCTTCCTGAAGGTGACAGTTCTGATAATGCTACAGAGCAACTGTTAACAATTTCAGCTTGCTCAACTCCACGATCAACACTCTTGGCACCAATAGTCAGGAAATCAAAAGACAAATTGCTCTGGGGAAGTCTGCTGTCAGGGAACTATCCAAAGTACTGAAGAGAAATGATATCAGTCTAGGGACTAAGGTGTGCCTGATCTAGGCCATGGTCTTTGCGTTGCATCAGAGAGCTGGACAATGACTAAGGATGACAGAAGAAGAATAGATGCCTTTGAATTATACTGATAAAGAAGAGTATTAAACATACAATGAACACTCAGAGAATAAACAGGAAGGAGGCGGTTTTTGAGACGTTTATCTCTGCTCTCCAAAATCTGCAATAAAATGCTTTGGATATTGCAAAAGAGAGAGAGAATGGAAAGAGGAGAGGAGAGGAGCAATAGGCCAGTAGAGCTCTCTAGATTATCATTTGACTATTAACAAAAAGGTCAGCAGTTTGAAACCACCATCAACTCCATGGGAGGAAGATGAGGCAGTTGGCTCCTGGAGTGGCTGGAAAAACCCTCATTGCTCTCAAGTTGGGACCAACTCAGAGCTGAGCCTCTACTGGTTTCCAAGGCTGTAACTCACCCAGGAGGAGACTGTCTTTTTTCCTCAGAAGCCGCTGGTTAGAGTCAAACCATCAGAGACGCATGGCCTTTGGGGTAGCAGGGCACCTCCCCCCAGACTGTACCACCAGGGTGCCTATGACTGGGTCCTATGACTGAGAAAGCACCATGGATGCCCCAAAACAAAGCTCAGAAGGCAGGAAAGGGGCAAAAAAAGAACAAATGGAAACAGGGAACCTAGGGAGGAAGTGGGAAGAGTGCTGCTACATTGAAGGGATTGCAACCAGTGTCACAGAGAATATGTAAAAATTGTCGAATGAAAACAAATTTTCTTTGTAAACTTTCACCTAAACTACAATTTATTTATTATTTTTTTTTAAAAAAGGAAATCCTACGAATACAGTCCTCCTCTGTGGATGAATCAGACTGCAATGAGCTGGAAACGAAGAAAGCAACTGGTTTGTGTAACTCTGAGGGACTCCTCTGCACTGGGCTGGAGCTGACTCCATCCCCTCCCTTTAGCCAGGCTACAGTGGGATTCTGGGCTCAATAGTCCTCTGGTAAGCACCCTCTCTACTCCCTTCTGCTGCTCCTTCTAAAAGGAGCGTGGATCAGAGTGAGGCTGGCAGGAGGCAGGGACATTTCAGCTACATCCTAATGGCCATCCAGCGTCTGCAGGGAGACAGGAGCATGTCAGTACCAAGCAGATCTGTTGCCATGGGAATAGCATCAGCTGTCAGCAAGCCAGTGTGGGGCAGCCGGGAGGGGTTGTGGCTGCTGATGCTGCAGACACTGGTCCAGCTCACAGCTGCCACCACTTCTCCCTGCCCTCCCTTGTCCACCTCTTCACAAGGAGACTGCAAGGTCACCCTTCTCCAGCTGGTTTTGTAAATGCAGCAGCTCAGGCAGCTCCGGGGGACACTGCTGCCTCTCCTCAGAGGTTCCTAGACTGGTCCAGAGCACCCAAGTTTGGATGAAGGGGTCAAGTCTGCATCCGATTCACCCATGTGTATCTTTCCAGATCTGGAAGCCAAGTCCAGGCCTAGACCCAGGGGGCTCGGCATGGACGGGTTTCTGTGTGAACCATACACATCTTGTCTGACAAAACAGCATATGGGGCCCAGAACATTCTAGAAAATGGCTTCACCAGCCTCTTTGGCATTTCCTAAAGGTGCCTCTGAAGTCTGGTTTACAGAGTCTGGGGTCCAATGTCTAGCACCAGGATTTATGATACAAAAACTCGGGGGGTGCAGGGTAGCCCAGACAGGTGATCTAAACCTCTTTTTCTTTCCCCACAAAAAAGCTCCGCCCAACTCACTGCCACGGAGTCACTGTCAACACAGCCAGTGACTCTGTAAGAGCAGAGTGGACATCCCCACCCCTCCACCCACATTGGGTTTCCCAGGCCTGAGGGATGCACACCACCTCATCTTCCTGCCTCTGCACAGAGGCTGATGCGTTCCCAGGGCCCACCTTCCGGTTAGCGGCCGAATGCTTTAAACACTGCGCCACCTGAGCCCCCTACCCCATTCCCAGCTCCCGGAATTTCAGCCATAGCATGGGTGTGACGACCGTTGGGCACCTTTCAAAGAATCCACTCATTTTTCAAGTCATTTGGACGCACTGCTGATTTCTAGGCACACGTTTTAAGGCTCCGCGGTGGCAGATTGGTTAAGTGGTGTACTGCTAAGAAAAGGTCAGAAAAGGTCAGCGGTTGGAGCCACCAACCGCCCCATGGGAGAAAGCTGGGCATCCCCCCTTACCTCCCACCCTGTAAAGATTTACAGCTTCGGAACCCAAACGGAGGGTCCCTGAAAGAGGGGATTCGATCCAAAATGAATTTCCACGGAGAAGCAGGTGTCCCTGAAATGGCACAATTACTACAAAATTCTCCTTTCTGGATGCAGAGTTTAAATCTTGCCTCGCGTGGCATTTTTCTTACAAATTTTGCATCAAATCTCTTCCTTACTCTCTTTAATTTGGGGGATGTGGGAGTGGGGTTGGGGTGGTCTAAATGACGAATGTTGGGTCATGTTTAACCCCTGACAGTGGCTATGACTCACGGGGCCTACCCATTTCTCAACAATCTTCTAGTACGCAAGTTATTCCAAAAATATGTCCCAAAGGAAGGTGGGCTGTGGGGGTGCTCGCGGCTCTGGGTTCATTCTGGAAACCATTTCCAGACTGGAAATGGCAGACTGGCTTCCAGAAGAAGGAAAGGAGACGTTTTATGGCAATACGCAGCTCTTTGGGCAAGGTGTCCGCGCTTGGGGGGGGCGGGGAAAGGGGGCCTGTGGCGCGACCCCAGAGCTCCCCTGCCTCCGCCTTCCTACCTCCAGGGGCTCATGTTCCCCGGGGCCCTGAACAGACAGATGCGCCAGCTCCCCGCGCGGCTGACCTGGCAGGAACCAAGGGGCGCAGGAGCCTCCCCAGAGCAGGGGCGACTTCAAGGCCAGGAGACACCCCTGCGCCCGCCCCCCACTCCGCAGGGCGCCGCAGGGGCGTCCCGGGGGGGAGGAGGTGGTGGGCGCCACATGCCCAGCTCCCAGATCGCCCCCAGGCCCCGCACTGGCGCCTTACCTGCGGCCACCAGGCCCGGGGCGAGGGGCAGGAGGCAGGCGAGCCACAGCAAGCGGCGGAGGCGCGGCGCCACGG